ATCGTCAAATAATCCTGAGTCGGAGTTAGTTTCTTATTTTTTCTTAAAGCATTCTATCTCCGTATTATGCTAGTGATTTTTCGCTCAGGAATGCATATATAGTGAAAATTGCGATTCTATGATGAATTCAATAAAAATCGGCACAAGTTAGAATGCAGTAATTAATCGTACCTAAAAATTCCATCCGTTCTAGAATTACGTTATGTCTAAGAACAAGCATTAAAATAAATTTGAACATATAAAGTTCATCGATACGGTGAGCCTCTTTTTTCAATACAAGAAACTCTTTTATGTTCAGGCAAACCATAATATAATCAACGGTCACGTCACAATTCCTTCCTATTAGTGCTGCATTATTACCCAATAATCTACAACCATACAAACAGCAACTTTCCACCTCAATGGAAAGTTAAACGCCCAAAGTATCCATGAGTACATGACTATAGAGGAATAAGCAGAGGAAAGCTCAAAATGTCTTCCGTACAAGGAAGTCATCGAGTGGTGAGCGTTTTCGACACAATTATTAAGAGGACGTTTGATGTCTCGCGTGCTNATACGATTCAAAGCCTCAAGTGAGTTCATGTACACTGGGAAGTATTAGTATACAATTTGTTATCAGCATTTCTAATTAACAAGTTTCCATATTATTGTCTTTATTGACATCCTTATATATTATTGTCTTTATTGACATCTTTATTGACATCCTTAAGTCTTTATTGACATCCATCATACTTTTTCACTATTGACGTCGTTACATCACGTGCCTCCACGAATGGAGACTCCCTCTGTCCCAACGTCTCCTTGACTCAGTTGCCGTCGTAATGGCCCGCGCGCTGCAAACAAACTGCCATGAACACAAGGTACGGACTCAATTCCTCGTTCGCTGAGATTCAATCTAAATATTTCTAGACTTATCACTGGTATATAGTTGGCATAATCTGATCATCTTTACATTGCATATTTACTTACTTATATTTTTGTTTTAATTGTATTTACTATGTTCCACCAAACTGCGTATTCTTGATTCAGCGCAGAAATAAATCAGTTTCCCCAAGTAATTTTATACGTCAACAATTTTACAGGGAGTTTTTTTACACGAGCGTAGCTCATACTTTATACTTGTAATGAATTCGTTTCTTCAAAGGCTGTTTCATCATCAACATATCTTCGGTCATGCACTGCGACCAAACTAATGTGGAGATATGGAGTTGTGAAAAATAGTAGCTTCCTCTTATGAAATCGAAAATAAAAGTTAACTAGAACATTTAACCTATTACCAATCAGTCTGCGTGAATTACTCCGATCTAATGCGTGCATTATCCTTGGTAAAATTATAAATTGTTTAGTCATTTGTAGTTAGTTTTCATAACAAATTTTCAGTTTTTACAAATGTCATTAATACAGGCTGCAATAGACATAATGTTTGGCGGGTTCTCAAATTAACGCATTATGATGCAAATGAGTTAGCTATTGGATGGTGTTCGTACAGCCTTTTCATACTTACTTAACAATATATTCAATTTTTCAGTACTTTTCATACTTAATTAACAACTGTTGAATTCGTCGACTGGGAGAGTCAACCAGGCACACTTTGTAAATACCTAATCACAGTATAATTTTCATGTTTTAAATCGAAGTGAATGTTCAAGATAGTAAACAATGAATTTAATTCGTGAAATGTGTATTTTTTATATATCAAATTTACCAAAAAAATAGATATAACTGATAGAATCCATTATCGAAATAAAGAAATATGAATAAATATAGAAATTTTTGATAAGCAGACATGCACGCAACCGGATTGTAAGACACGCTTGTAAGCGTATCAAATAATAATAATAATGAATAAAGACTTCATAGACGTAAATAACAATAATTAAATTTACATCCATTATAATAAATATAATCAAATTACGTCATCGCATGTTGCGAAAAATAAATAATAAATTTATTTTTACTGTTGAAATTGAATAAATTCAACTAAAACTCAAGCAAAAGGAACGTCGTCAGATATTAAATCGAACTAGCGTAATCATTCGACTTATGGTTTATTAACTGTATTAATCAAGAGTCCCTAGTTATAAATTTACAAACTACCGGATTTGTCAGGACATTGAAACTGTTCTTGTAATTTAAGCTTTGATTTCAATCTGTATCCATAATGCCTATGTTTGTACTATTATCATTTCAAATTTCAATTTCGAGCGTTGCAAAACTCTTCCTCATCTACTTGATTATGAATGAAGTTGCATTCGAAACGTCGTAAAATTAAAATTATAATAAAATGTCCCGTGGAAACCTGATATTTGACTTTTCAGTTCCTATCAAGAGCCTAATTCGCCGAATAGAGAAAAACAATAGGAAAATTGTCAATAAGAAATATTCTCTGGTCTTCAATGAAACCTGCATTTACTATCGTCTTTGCATTATCAACAGGCAGAGTAACATCAATACCGAGAGTTCAAACGCAAATTTATCTTCTCACTGCTAATCAAGCTCCAAATCACAAACGTTCTACTTTTTTTTTGGAAATGCGTATGATTTTGTCCAGAAAGTATGTGTGCCAATACAGTGGAGGGAATTTTTGTGCTCGTGGTTGAATTACTATATCATTTGTTGCTAGCGTCAGATCTTTACATTTTTTACTAATATCAAGAGGAAATCTTTTCAAATTTCATCAGTTTACCATCATTCGTGTTTTACGAGCACTCAAAACGAAAATTTTCCTAGGTGAAAAATTTGTCTCAATGACCTTTTCAAACTATGACTAGCTTTTTGAATTACAGATTACACTTCATATTGCATGATTTTTTTATTTGCCGCCTCAAGGCAGCAGGTTTAGTTTCTAGTTATGCGTATTTATGACCACTTTTCGAGTTATTGACTCTTGCCTTGCCAAAAGTTGATTTCAGTCAACACCAATGAGCCAAAAGTTGATGAGAGTTTTTATGGTGTTGGCTGAAATCCCGATTAGGTACGACATTTCTGCACATAATATCTGGATTATGGGCGAAACTGGAACGAAGTTTTTTTCTGATCAACTAAAAATATTTTTTCTAGTCAAGGATACATTTTTTCATGTCAAGTACGAATTTTTTATCGCAAGGATATATTTTCAAGTCAATGTTATATATTTTTATGTCAATGAAATATTTTTCTTCACGTCAGTGATTTTTAATATAACTCTTTTTTAAGCCAAGAGTATATTTTTTTCAAGTTAAGTACATGATTTTTTGAGTTGTTAATGAATGAGTGAATGTCATATTTTTTATTGCATTTTCTTATTTTTAACTGTAAAGTGTTGTTTTTATCATTTTTAAACGAAAAATATGCATTTGTGGTAAAGGGACCATGGGTGGGCGCCTTGCCCCAAGCCCATGGGCCCATTGCCCCAGGGGTGGGGCAATGGGCCAATTTTGACACTTTTTACAAAACAGTGTTTCATTAAAAATTGAATGAACATATAGGCGTCTAATTCACATCATACATTCCTCATTAGTTGTACCTTTAAACAAAACAAAGAACCACCTCGTATCAATTAAAACTTCATCAAAAATTTAGTTTAAAAAAAGGGGGGGGGCACGCTGCCCCATGTTGCCCTATAATTTTCATGTTTTAAATTGAAGTGAATGTTCAAGATAGTAAACAATGAATTTAATTCGTGAAATGTGTATTTTTTATTTATCAAATTTACCAAATAAATAGATTTAACTGATAGAATCCATTATCGAAATAAAGAAATATGAATAAATATAGAAGTTTTTGATGAGCAGACACGCAACCGGATTGTAAGACACGCTTGTATGCGTATCAAATAATAATAATAATGAATAATGACTTCATAGACGTAAATAACAATAATTAAATTTACATCCATTATAATAAATAAAATCAAATTACGTAATCGCATGGAGCGAAAAATAAATAATAAATTTATTTTTACTGTTGAAATTGAATAAATTTAACTAAAACTCAAGCAAAAGGAACGTCGTCAGATATTAAATCGAACTAGCGTAATCATTCGACTTATGGTTTATTAACTGTATTAATCAAGAGTCCCTAGTTATAAATTTACAAACTACCGGATTTGTCAGGACATTGAAACTGTTCTTGTAATTTAAGCTTTGATTTCAATCTGTATCCATAATGCCTATGTTTGTACTATTATCATTTCAAATTTCAATTTCGAGCGTTGCAAAACTCTTCCTCATCTACTTGATTATGAATGAAGTTGCATGCGAAACGTCGTATAATTAAAATTATAATAAAATGTCCCGTGGAAACCTGATATTTGACTTTTCAGTTCCTATCAAGGGCCTAATTCGCCGAATAGAGAAAAACAATAGGAAAATTGTCAATAAGAAATATTCTCTGGTCTTCAATGAAACCTGCATTTACTATCGTCTTTGCATTATCAACAGGCAGAGTAACATCAATACCGAGAGTTCAAACGCAAATTTATCTTCTCACTGCTAATCAAGCTCCAAATCACAAACGTTCTACTTTTTTTTTGGAAATGCGTATGATTTTGTCCAGAAAGTATGTGTGCCAATACAGTGGAGGGAATTTTTGTGCTCGTGGTTGAATTACTATATCATTTGTTGCTAGCGTCAGATCTTTACATTTTTTACTAATATCAAGAGGAAATCTTTTCAAATTTCATCAGTTTACCATCATTCGTGTTTTACGAACACTCAAAACGAAAATTTTCCTAGGTGAAATATTGAGGCTAGACTTGTGTAAAGCAAAATTTAGGTATTTTGGTTTAACAGAGGTCGCGCAAAATGAAGCAATTGCTTATAGTGTATCTGTAACAATTAGCAACCTGCTTGGTAAAATATCTGATTTATACTATTTTACTTCTTATAACTTGGTGAGAAAAAGAAAGAAAACTACATGCATTTTCCAGATAATTTTTTTTTCTCGTTTGTAACGCGTTTCGTCGAGTTAGTCGTTGTGACTCGTGAGTCATCTCAGTGTAGTCTCGGACTCGTGGTTCAATTGAGAGCCTCACTGTCAAAACTCAATCAAGTCCAGTGTTTTTTCATTGGCTTCATTGTTAAAGAACGCTTCGTTTTTTCTTCACGACCCAGTATTACGTGCAGAACGTTTATTGTTCAAAATCACTGGTGTTGTTTGGAAACTCGTTCTTATCCCAACCAAGACTCGTTTGGAACGGAACCACGACTGGCGGTGGATTGACAGGCGACAGCGATTGGAATTTGGAGAGTAGACAGTTGGAGTTGGCTCGTCCCGTTGTGTGGTTGGCGTAATTGAAGGTGAGTATTTGAATAGAATAAGATTCTCTATGACTATGTACGCTAACTGTGGAAAATATTTTATTGTAAAATACAATATTTAGTATATAGACTTCAATCACAATGATAGACGTGGTATTATGATTCATCGCGTTATAATATAATCAAGATAGCTGTTTGTCAATACTCGTTTGTTACTCGTTTAATCTGGAACTTGTATGAACAATACTGGTGCAATTTGTTGATTGCACTAATACGGAGACAGGTTATAAGACGCCTCTGCAGATTTGGACTTTGGAGTAGATTTCCAGACACGTATTGGGTATGATAATATAGTTTGTTCCTTCAGTGCATTATGTTTTCATTTAATAAATACATTATTACACGATTAAAAGTCGATTTTACCCTCATAGAAACGAAGTTTGTTTATCGAACGTCCGTCTGTTTCTGGGGGTTGTCAAGCGCTGGTCACTGGCTAGACAGTGTTTACGCTGTAGTGAGTAGGGACTAACTGACTATTATAGTTGCCACTTGCCAGTGAGTTGCTGCGCATAGGTGTACGTAAACTTCATTACATATTTGAACGATAAATCTCGTTGTTCATTAGAGCGTACAAATGAGTCAAAACCTTTTGAATTTTGCGCAAAATAGGGTATCATGTTCAATTAGATAATTGGTAATGCTATTTTATAGAGAATTTTTTAATACCACCTCACGTTACCATCCAGATAACATAGTTAATTGCTTGAGCAAAGTGCCTCACTGCTTTGAGCCATAGACATTAATGAAATTGTTTAAGTTGTTTAATTGCAATTTAGCACGTTTTGCTGAATATCTGACCTTTACAGAAAGCCCTTTGACTATGGGTTGCTATCAAGAAGTGAGGGATCTCTCGAACCCTCAATACGAGTCCTTCACGTCCATCGGCCGTTGCATTCATTTTGCTGACTTCCACGACTGCTGGGAGAGGAAGGATTTCGTCACCCGACGCTTAAATAGCACCAGAGGCAGCTGTGGATATCAGGTTAGCGATTATTTTATAAATAATTATTTATTGTTCTTCTACGTGGTGTGTAATATCAAATTAAAAGGCTTTAGGCAGATTCCAGAACGCTTTCCATACTCCCAAGTTCATTATTATTTCGTTTTTGCTAGCAGGAAATCCGAAACTGAGGAAGTAGCTTGGTTGGAACCGTAAAATATTACGTTCTCAACAAATTCTTAAACTGTGCTCACGAAGATGACGTTCCTAGTTCTATTCATTATTTGATTCCTCAGGTTTTGTGGATGGCTCCCTCCAAGACCAGCACTGAGCACAATTTCTACGGCAACATGACGTTCACAATAGATTTCAACGAGCTTCTTGATCGCGTCAGGCCTGCAAACATGTACTTTGTTGACCAAATCAAGTTCAACCAGCATATGGCTACAAGAATTTTACTCACGCGTCATTCGTATCCTCGTCTGAAATCGGTGAACACTTCAGCAGCCGATTCGCCTCTGAAGGTCACGTATGGATCACCGCGTGGCTGGCAACACGCCACATCGTGTTCCGTATATGGTAGTATGCAACCTCATAAACTGGAGATTGCCTTCCACCCCACAGGAACTGACAGCTCGTGGCTCTTCCGCAAATGCAGAATTTCAGCGAACTATCACTCGAAGGCTAATACAGGTGCGTACCACGCCTGTCACAGGTTTAATAATTTCGGAAAACAGTGTCCGCATTCTTTGGATGACGAAAGCAGCGTCCGCATTATACGTTCCTGGGTGAAAGCACTGGAAGAAAATCAAGAAACTGAAAGCATTTCGGCAAAAACTGACCGTGATGTGTTTGCGCTAGCGTACAAGGAGGTTACAGGCAAGCAATACGATAACCGAGGAAGAGGCTTTTAGGTCAGAGCCTCTGTCTGGATTGACTGCAACCGACCCCTTGGTCCGGAAAATTTGATTGGAAAATGAATGCATTGCATGATATGCTGTAGCATTGAATATTATTTTAAAAGCTGTAGATTTCTTTAAGGTATTAGTATATTCTTGTGTGTGTTGGTAAAAAAATTAGTGACTCCTGACCTGCAAAAAAGTTGAATTGCAGTGAAGTTGTTCAATGATGTCGCAAATTCTGGAAATAATTCAAATTATATTTTTCAATTTTTATGGTAAGTTCTCATGTTTTTTTCTTGCATTTTTATCTAAAGTGATTTATAATTGTAGTCGCTTCGGATAATTCATTTACTGTTGAAAAGTATTTTCTGAGAAATAGATTCATTTTTAATATCTTACGAGAGTCTTGTGCAATTCTCTGACTAAGATACATCTCCTTAAAAATCTCGATATGGAGATATGTCAAATTTGTATTATTGTTGAAATATACATATTGGTTTCGAAACGTTGTAGTGATTTCAAGAGTATTATTAGAATAAAACAGTATTTTTGTACATCCCGATGTCTTAATTAGGTACAATTCTTACCCGTGAACTGAAGGTCAACAAAATGCGGTATTTAAAAGACAACATAAGCCAGTTAACCATGACCAGTTTCAATAAATGTAATATCTGATAATTTGGAAATCATTTTAAGTTCTGGTAATGACAATTATAATTATGTAATTCACGATAATTCTTGTACGTAGCGCAAATTTCAACTAAGCCCTCTGGCAACATCGTTAGGGTTCACAGTCCCAAGCCAAGCCTCTTCTACTTCTGACGCGCTGCTACAAAGGGTGTCGAGTACTTTCTCCTGTGTTGTAAATTAATAATTCACTGGGAGAATAGTGATCAGAGTGTTAAAATTTAATACTTGTTTCATGTACGTCATGTAGACGTGTATCCGTTCGGTTGTTAAAAGTAGATTGGTTGGAATTTTGTCATGTTTTCATGCCGACTCAGCTTAGAGCAGTGGTTCCCAAACTTTTCAGGCTAGCGCCCCCTTTGGCTCCCTAGTGAATTTTTAGCGCCCCCCACAGACTAACGCCTCTTTCTTGAAATTTAGTACACTACAATTTTAAAAGATAAAGGTTAAACACAAATGTGTATTTCACAAATAGAACCCATATAGTGACCCAATATGTTTTTCAACTGTTTCAACTGTCAGCACTAGAAACCTATGGACGTCGCGGGCGAATTTACGGCCGGACTCGTGGCCGGTCTCACGACCAATCTCCAAATTCAAGTATCAAGTAATACCTCTCAAACTAATGAACGCAGCTCTATGAAACTTGGAATATGTATTCATCAGAACATTTCTTCAAAACTATTGAACATATTTGAACGAAATTTTGAATATACATTCCTAACCACCAAACGGTAATTTTTTAACTTATAATTTTTCAATTTTACCTTCGTTTGCGAATTTTTTTTCATTTCACCGTCATTTTTGATTTCACACTTCCTTATATTCGGCCCGTATCGCCTGGTAATTTGTCACTTGAAGTCGAGGCGATCAAGAAATTTCTTCTAGACTACAGAACAATTTCAAAGAAACTTTGTATATAATTACCTAACCTCTTAACGGTGATGTTTAGCTCGTGACAATTTTTTTTATTTTGCTTTCGTTCGCGAGTTATACAGATATAGGAGGAAATGAAGGTGAAATGAAAAAAAAAACTCGCGAACGAAGGCACAATCAAAAAAATTTTAACAAGCTAAATATTACCGTTCGGTGTAGTTAGGACTGCAAATTCAAAATTTCGTTCGAATCTGTTCAGTAGTTTGGAAGAAATTGCTTGATCACTGTGAATTTCGGCCCTTATTGCCATATAACTATGGCAAAAACAAACGATGGCAAAATTCAAACAATTTTCACGAGCTAAACATTATCTTTAGGTCCTAATGAATACTTGTACTAAGTTTCGCCGAGTTAAATTCATTAGTTTGAGAGATATTCCTTGATCATTGAATTTTGGAAATTGGCTGTGAGACCGACCGTTAATTTGTCAGAGACGTAAACCCAGGAGAGGTTAAAAAACTGATCTGGGTGAAAAAAACCATCGCTGGGAGTGGGAGTCATGTGCTGCACGTGTTGTGTACAAATCGTCAAACAAACGTTGGAACTTCTGACTTCGACTTAATTCGGACTATCGCCCCCCTACCGCCCTCATCTTCCTTACCGCCCCCCAAAATCTTTCCACCGCCCCTAGGGGGGGCGATATCGCCCACTTTGGGAACCACTGGCTTAGAGGCTATAGCGTAGTTATCATCATCATGCTGACCTATACTGTAATGGTTTATAGTCTCATAATAGGAGTATTATTTATTTAATATTTAGCCTTTATTTAGGTTACTATACCAACCTCATGTATAATCTGTGAGTTAGATATTCTCATTTATTTTATTGAGTAAATTAGACGAAATTGAAATAATGTAGATCCAGAATTAACTTTCAATGTAAATCTTAGTGTTAAATTCCGGTTAGGGTTTCTTATTGAATTAAGCGATGATTGTGAATTAACCTGAATCATCCATAACGCTCCCGTTAATCTTGATATTTATATTATATTGCGACTAGAATTTTATTAGATAAAGATTCATGATCCCGCGGACCAATGAGTATTTAATTGCCTGAACCAGTGATGATAACCAACGTACGGTATATAATAAGAATTAAGTTTTCAGTATTATTTTTTTCATGTGAGGAATATGTCGTGAATAGACAAAATAGCGGTTATACCGAAAGTGATTATGATGAATATTCGAAATGCAGACCGGATTTTACCACGGACTTGGTACCACTCATACCAGGGTTGTTAGATGCCCTAAAAAACGGCCAAGTCCGCGAACAAAAAATGCTTAAATGCCTTTACCTCAATATATATTAGTATATATGTAGGTTCCGATGTAAAAATTCCATTTATTTTTTTGGAGTTTAAAAAATTTAATCAGGAAGTTCTATCATAAATTTTAGCGGTCAACGCAATTGAAAGAAACTATATCGCGGAAGTTGTCCGGACAAGAAGACCATCTGGCAGCCTTGCTTGATACTTAATATCCTTGCTTGTTGACGTTAAGCTCTCCTCTCCTCCTAAAGTCGGCGTTCTCAGAGATGCTTTCCGGTCCATTTATTAAGCTTACCTAATGAGCGTCTGTTTGCTTCAATAAATATTCGTCTTAAAAGTGCGATCTTCATTCCTTCATTGTGTGTTTAGCTGACAAGAGGAAGAGCCGTACGAAGACATGGTTGAACTATATAAGGTTGACCACCGAGGATTTCCGTCTTTCAGTTTAGCTTTCTTATTGCGTCACTGAGATCGAGAAACGTAAACAAACCCGTCATTCCCATGGCGGATTGGTTGATCGGTTTGATCGAATTTCGGTGATAGGTTAATGACCGTGACGTCACTGAGTTCAGTGACGTCACAGGCGAACAACAATTAACTGCTTCCGCAAAAATGGGCTTCTCATGGGTCAACATTATACTAGTTCAACCATGATACGAAGATATGGCACTTCAATACTACCAGATTCACGTTCATCTGTACCGTATGAAGATATTTTTATTCGTAACTCTTTTAAATTAAATGAATTATTTATATTGTCCTATTTGTTATAACAATCTTTTTGGGAAATTTATTTCTTTTTCGATATAATTCATATATTACTCATGGCCTTGTCCTCTTTCATCAAAAATATAAATAGGCTGTGCAAATAAAGCCTTCAAAATACTGGCAATATACTGTATTTAGATTTTCTCACTTGAAAGATTTAATTTAGGAATAATTAATTAATAAGGATGACGCACCAACTCGACAAAATAGAATTTATTTCGGTCAGAAGTTTCAACACTTCAAGACGTGCCTCAGTTCAAACAGAAAAGTAGTCCAAATTTCAGAATCGTCTTATTTTAAATTGTATACGAATGGAAAATAAATTGAAATAAGTAATTTATTTCGGGTCTAATTTCCATCATTAACAAGTTTCAGGAGATGAACTTACGCTGGAAGCAGTTAATCATAATAAGCAAAAATCAGATTAGTCGTAATATTAGTTAGTTACAGTTGATGATTCCAAATTTCCCGCATGAAGGACGATTTTTTAATGAGAAGTATTAATGAAGCTCATCAGCGTGTAATATAAGTCACAGTAAGCCAAAATTATATCTCCGGAACATTCACGCGGAAATATTTTAGTAGATGTTTGGAGTTTTGTGGAACCGAAAAACGGTGGCTATTGTGGGAATTAATAGGTTTTACAGCGGTCCTTACAGGTAGGATATTGAAGCGTTGAAGGAATATTCAGGCTAGTTTATTCTGATAGTTGAGCAA